GGGCGCTTCTGTGCGCTGGCCCCAGGCTCAGTGCCTGTGTGCCTTGGCCCATCTCATCCCCAAGATGCCTCTAGTCTGATGCTATTATTAGCGCCCCCATTTCCCAGAGGAGGCTGCTGAGGCTCAGAGAAGGGACCCACCTGGGGTCACATCAAGTGAAGCTTCTGGAACTGGCTGCTAAGAACCGAGTACCAAATGCTCTAAGTGCTTTGCATGTGTTAACTTGGGAAATACAACAACCCTGTGAGGAGGGACCGGTTTTGTATTTATTGAACAGATGCGGAGACTGAGGCAGAGAGAGGGGTGAGCGCCTTGCCCAGGTTCACCCAGCTAGTTAGTGGCGGAGCCAGGGCCCTAACTCGGGCATTTGGCTATAGAGCTTTTAAATACGTTGCTCTCCTGCCTGATGAGGAAGGTGGTAAGGAGGGGGCGGCAACGGTGTTCCTTCTCAGGACACGGCACGCCCCAATTTGCAAAGCTTTTGCACACTCGGCACTTGATGTGCCCTTCAGCCCAGGGAGACGCAGAGATCAAAATTTCCATTTTACAGAGGAGGGTAATCATTGGCCCAAAATCCCTCCACAAGTTAGTTGCAGGGTAGGGGCTGGGGCCCCAGCTTTGACGCTCAGGCTCGCGCCCAGCCTGGCCCCCTCTGACTACCTGGACATTTTGAGTTTGTGGCCCACCCTGTCCCCGAGGAAAGGGGCTTTGGGCGCACAGGGTGGGCAGAGAGTTCTGGCTTGCTGTGGGACCTTAGCTTCCTCGTCTGTAAAATGAATGGCCTGGAACCGTTGGTCTCCGAGTACCCTTCCAGCTGAATTCGCTGTCCTTACTCTGAGAGGTGCTTGGGGATGCAGTGTTCCCCGCCTGCCTTGTTGCCTTCCCCATGACGGCAACCAAGTGGCCCCATTTCCCCTGCCGGATGTTTTCCCCCACCTGCTGGCGGCCTCCTCCCATCCGGCATGGTTGCAAGCTGCAGGAAGCTGGGGAAAGATGTCCCACCAAGCCCAGAGTTTCCCACTGGCTCAGGAATCAGGGCCTCCTGCTTGATCTGCCTTGTGAGCTCCTACCCCATTCTGCGTCGAAACAGAACAGCTAGTCATCTGTCTGTCTGCCTGTCTGTCTCCCTCTCAAGCAGGACTGTGAGCTTGAGGGCAGAGGTCCCATGGAAAGAGCAGGGCTTGGTAAACAGTGAGCTCTCCGGTTCTGGAAACATGCACAGAGGGGCAGGGGCAGGTTGAAGGGTCCCAGGCCCCTCCAGCTCCTGGCTCTGAGCCCCCATGGCATAGGAGAGGCCTGGGAGGCTCTGCCCTTGTGGGCAGCAGGAACAGAACGCAAAGGCACGAAGCCTGCTCTGCTCTATGTGACCTTTGGGCACAGGCGGACCTGAGGGTGGAGGCCTTCGAGAGCCTGGAGCTTCTGTGCTGACAGGGTCATCTCTCCACACAGGTCACCCCTGCCACACACATCAGGGAGGCCTCCAAGGGGAGCCACCGCCTCCCACTTAGACCCATGAGGTCGGCAATGTCCTCTGAGGTCAGCTTGCTAGCTGGCTCAGGAGCTGGCCTGCCCAGAAGCAGCCTTACACCCCCTCCCTCTCACCTTGTTTGAACCCAAGCCCCTGCTGTGGCTCTGGCCCAGCTCGGTGTGGTACCCAGGCCTTCTCCTGTCACCTCACCCCACCCCCAAAAGCTGACAAGGCAAGGTTATCCTCTCTCTCTGACAGACGAGGAAACTGAGGTCCCAGGGGCATGAGTGTGTGAGTGGCAGTCACAGAGCCTGGCTGGAGGCTCAGGGGCCTTCCCGGTGGCCTGCCCACCCCAGGAGAGTGAAGTCTTCATGTGCAGGAAAAACCAAGATAGCAAGGCCCGAGGAGGGCACAGCTGGGGAGGCAGGGAGGTGGGGAGGGGGACCGTTGGTGACACGTATGTCCAGAGCCTGAGCCAGGGACATTTGTCCTGTCGTAGACCATTCAAATGGTTTGCACCTCCCAGATGCACCGTGTCTTCTCTGGGCTTCCCATGCCTCTCCCTCTACCTGGAACACTTATTCCCTCCCTCGGCCTGGCTAACTCCTACTCTTCGGCTGCAGACAACTCAGCACTTCAATTATTTCCTGAGCACCTACAAGGAGGCAGACACTGTCCAAGGTGAGCTGTTCACAGTGAGCGAAAAGAGAATTGTCCCGCCTTCCGGAAGTTTCCAGTCCCGAAGGAACCAGACAGAGCTGACGTGAAATAGTTGGGATAGATTTGTGGCTGTCACGAGTGGACCCCAAATCAGAGGCTTCACACAACGAAGGCCTATTTTGCAGCCTTGTCACAGTCGAGATGGGTGACAGGGAGCTCTGTCTCTGTGCCACAGTCATCCCCTAGCCTTAAAGCCCCCTTGGGTCCTCTGCACTGTGCAGGCTTGTGAGCGAAGAGGGAAGCATTGAGGGCTGGGCGGGGGGGCTTAGCGGTGGGGTCTGGGGGGGCGTGCATGTCACTTCCTTTCATACTCTACTGACCAGAGCTTGGCCACACAGCCACACCAGAGTGCAAAGAAGTCTGGGAAATGTCACCTAGCCGGCACATCTGGGTTTGAACAGCTGGCCAGTCTCTGCCAGGCAGAATCACACAAACACTGTGTTAGTTTCCTGGGGCTCCTGTAACTATTCCCCGGATTCTGTGGCTTAAAGCAACAGGAATGTCTTGTCTCATGGGGCTGGAGGCCAGAAGTCTGAGATTGAGGTGCTGGAGGCTCCAGGGGAAGATCCTTCCTGATTCTGCTGGTGGCCACTGTTGGCTGCGGGCGACCCTAGGCTTCCTGGGCTTGTGGTCACATCACTCCACTCTCTGCCTCCGCCTTCACATGGCCTCAACCTCTGCGTCTTTTCCTTTGTGCATCTCTTTAAGAGAGCTTCTTGTTGGAGTTAGGCCCCTCCCACCCTGATAATCCAAGATGATTCCTTATCCCAAGATCCTTAATTTTTTTTTTAAAGATATTATTTATTTATTTGACAGAGACAGAGACCGCGAGAGCAGGAACACAAGCAGGGGGAGTGGGAGAGGGAGAAGCAGGCTTCCCGCCGAGCAGGGAGCCTGACACGGGGCTCTATCCCAGGACCCTGGGATCATGACCCGAGCCGAAGGCAGACGCTTAATGACTGAGCCACCCAGGTGCCCTATCCTTAATTTTTTAAAGATTGTATTTATTTATTTGAGACAGAAAGAGAGAGCATGAGCAGGGGGCAGAGGGAGAGGGAGAAGCAGGCTCCCTGCTGAACAAGGAGCCTGACGTGGGGCTCAATCCCAGGACCCCAGGATCATGACCTGAGCCCAAGGCAGACGCTTAACCGACTGAGGCACCTAGGTGCCCTGGACCTTAATTTAATTGTATCTGTAAAGATCTTTTTTCCATAGCAGGCAAAATTCACAGGTTCTGGGGATGAGAATATGATGTATCTATTTAGGGGCCACTTTCAGGGCAGGGTCACCTGGACTCCTTCACATGGTAGCTGGCCTCCAAGAGGCCAGAAACAGAAGCTGCAAGGCCTTTTAAGGCCCAAGCTCAGAAGTCCCAGATCATTATTTCTACCACATTCAGTTAGTCCAAGCTGGTCACAGGACCCACCCAGATTCAAGGGGAGGGAAAATAGAATACCGCTCTGGATGGGAGGTGTGGCAAAGACACAATTCAAGAGGACATGCATGCACCATGGGATGGAGGGTTGCAGCCATCTTTGGAAACAACCTATCAGAGTGTGTGTGTGTGTTTTGGTGAAGGCCTCAGCCGAGGGGCCCAAATATATGCTCCTTGATGACGGGGTTGCTGATGAGGCTGAGGTTGAACTATTCTGCCTGAGTGGGAGCCCCCAAACCCATGAGCTATAGGCCCACCCAGCCATCAGCTTACTGGGTGACCTTGGGCCAGTACCTCATTCATTCAACAACAGCTTACTGAGTACCTAGTATGGGCTAGGCTCTGAGCCAGGCACTGGGGTCCTAGTGGTGAGCAGGCCAGGTCCCCATGGAACCTTCTGTTTTGTGGATGACAAAAGTTCATAACTGGACAAACTGGTCACAGAGCATGACAAGTAGGAGAACAGCAAGGAGTTGGGCTAGAAAGTCCCTGGGGACACAGAGGCCAGGATGAGCCTCGAGGGCAGAGACCTGGAGGGCAACGAGGACACCTCCCCATTCTGGGCCTCAGTTTCGTCCTCTAGACATCCAGAGGGTTTGCCAGAGCTCCGGACTCAAACTATGCTTCCTGGAGTCCTGGGGCTCCCCAGAGGCACCCCCAGGGGCTACTGCAGAAGGTGGGAGAGCAGCGGGCATCTAAAGTTTGTGACTAGTTGGGCTGGAAGCTTCTGGTCAGCTCTCAGAGTCCAGCTTCCAAGCCAGTCACCCCAGTCTCTGATCCCAGTGATTTGTCCGGGGCAAGATTTCCCCAGGAGCCCTCTTGTTCCTCAGTGGCCCTGCCACAGTTCTGGGCTCTGTGGAAACAGGGAACCCCCCTTTCTGTCTGGTTGGACCCTCAGGTCTCCCCACCATCCCAGGACAGACCTTGCACTAGGATGCTTGCAGCTGCCCCCTCACCTTTGACCTTGGGTCTGCTTGAGCCAAGAGAGCCTCAGGGACCCCACAAGAAGTACCAGCATCTCTTAAAGAGCTCAGGCTCTTTGGGGTAAGACCCTCCCTTCTGTGTGGACTTGGACGAGCCCCTTGCTCTTTCTGGGCCTCAGAGTGAGCCCTGCCTCAGAGTGAGCACAAGGGTAAAGCAAGTCCCCCAAAGCTGGCTGGAGGTCAGCACAGGGGGAGGTGGCAATTCCTCTGGGGAGTGAGGTCAAGAGAAGTGGCAGGAAAGACCGCTTCCTGGGGACCCATGGGGGACCTGCCCCTGGTGCCCCTGCTCCACCATTCTGGCAAATTCTGAGCCGAGCCTTCCCCGCCCCCCCCCGAGGCAAGTTAATCACTAGGCAAATAGTTTACTTCAGCTCAGCAATCTTTATTCCTGTGTTCAGCCGCAAGGTTGGGAGCTGGGTGGGGGTGGGGCCAGGGGTCCCAAAGACAGTAATTCCTTCCTCGCTCTGGGCCTCAGTTTCCACCTCTGTCACACAGGGAGGGAAGGCTTCCCCTGCTTCCTTCACTGCGACACTGTGAGGATACAAGTGACCATATACATTTCAGCCACAGAGCTCTGGTACTGACGACCTCCCTGACTCAGTCCTTGCCCCTGGGGGGCTTGCTGTCAGGGAGGGAGACCCAAGCCTTGCCCACCACTAGCTGCTGGCAGGTGGGGCATGGCAGGGGGGTGGTGGGCAGGCAATGTGCGAGAGCCCCTCAGCCGTCGGTCTGGCTTCACTGAGCTCTGTCCTGGAAGTCCATGACTGGTCTTGTGTGGCCCATGCTCTCAATACCCTTACTTCTAGGCAGGTTTCTAAGGCCCTCACACATGTCACTGTCCAGGGGTGCCCCCATGCCCAGAGGGCAGAATCCACCAGGAAACAGAACTGAGCCCCCTTCTTCTCAGCCCTTCTGGGGTCTTTGTGGCAAGCCAGCCTTGGAGTGGAGGACCAGGGCCGAGGGGCAATCACAGGACCCTCGGGTGAGCTGGTGGCAGAGGCCTCGGGGCACCATGTAAGGAATGTAGGAGCAGTCCACGCAGGGGTGTCCAGGGGGCCGCGAAGAGGTAGGTCAGCAGGCATGGCCAGTCCATCTGGGTGCAGCAGGGGCCAACACCACTTCCAACATCCTTAGCTGGTGGTGCCCAGAGGGGGCTGTGGGGAGGCCGGCCGGCTCAGGGTCACACCAGGGAAGCTGGAGACAAAGCTCTTCCACCTTTTCCTCACCTGCTGGAAGACAGGGGAGGGGGGAGATCAGGGTCCTGATCTCACAACTGTGCGGTGGGCTTCAGTGTTGTTCCAGCCATAGCCACGAGGTGGTGGTAGACCCCAGAGACAGGAGCCCCTTTTCTCCTAGAATAAGGAGGCCTGGCCAGGAGCCAGCAGCTCCCACCAAGGGGGTCAGGATGCCCCCTTTCCTGGGGCAGAGGAACACAAGATGTAACGCCGGGGAAGTTTTATTGGCTGATCTCCTCGCCTCCAGCGAAATCCGCCCATCCAACACATTGCCAGATGAATCATTTTAAAACAGCTCTGGCCATATCACCAGCCCGCTCTAAAGCTTTCCGTGACTCCCCAGTGCCTGTGGGGTAAATCCCAAATGCCTTTCGGGCCCTTGCAAATATGGTGCCTGGATACCTCTCTTTCCAGACCCGTCTCCAGACAGCTCTGCTGTCTTCTTGGTCCTTGGCCCCATATGTTTCTACCTCTGAACCTTTGCAGCCATGGGTCCCTCTCTGTGGAGTGCCCATCCTCCCCCGTCCAACCATCAACCTTCAGCCAAACCTGTTGATACTGCTTCAGCCACCGCCGGCTGTCTCCTTGCTGGGCTTGGATCAGTTGCTCCGTGTCCTCCGGGCCCCCTGGCAGCCACTCCTGACCGGGCATGTCCAGCCTTTCTGGGCCTCCGATTGAGGGCCTGGACTCCTCATGTCCCTGTCTGAGGCTCAGCGCCCGGCGCAGTCGGCTCTGTAGAGGCTTCCCCCAGGGCTCCTGGAGTTTGCCATAGGTGGGCCGTGGTCCTCGCAGGGACTGGCTGCGTGGGCCTGTCCCCATGGTTCTCGAGGCTGCGAACACAGGACTGCTACAGGTCCTCGGCAAGCCAGTGACTTCTGAGATGGCCTGGAGTCTCCACCCATGTGATGGGAACTTACTTGGGGGCAAAGGTTGGTTCTGCTGAGGTGGCCATCATAAACCAAAGGGCAGGCCACAGGGGACAAGCATCCTTGAGTCAGCGTCACCACTGCCTCTCTCTACCTTCTAGGGCAAGGGGTACAGGTCTCTTCCTCCTGCTCCTTCTCCTCTTCCAGGCAGCCTTCCCTGATCTCTCTACCCCTGAAGCTCTTGGCCTCCCCTGAACTCCTGCAGCCCAGGATATCCAAATTCATTCTGTTGACACCGAGAACAGATGGCTCAACAGCAAAACAGAGATGGGCCTTTAAGAAACAGGACAGCTCCATTTTTTGTCCGACATCTTAGTGAGGCTGTAAGTGTGGCCGCTGATCTCCGAGCTTCACGATGCCTCCCAAGGACAAGAAGAAGAAAGATGCAGGAAAGTCAGCCAAGAAAGACAAAGACCTAGTGAGCAGATCTGGGGGCAAGGCCAAAAAGAAACGGTCCAAAGGCATGGTTCGGGGCATGCTCAATGACCTGGTCTTGTGCAACAAAGCTACGTATGACAAACTCTTTAAGTTCTCTAAGCGTAGGGGTGCCTGGGTGGCTCAGTCGTTAAGCGTCTGCCTTCGGCTCAGGCCGTGATCCTGGGGTCCTGGGATCGAGCCCCACATCGGGCTCCCTGCTCAGTGCGGAGCCTGCTTCTCCCTCTCCCTCTGCCTGCTGCTTCCCCTGTTTGTTCCCCCTCTCTCTGTCAAATAAA